TACCTTTCCTGGGCTATGTCACGATGAGTTGGTCACGTGTTCTTTCTTGCATGACCTCGTGCGATAGTGTTTTGTGAGCAAAACGACACTTCGCGCGTGAGCGTTGACGTGAGCTGGCGCTGTTGTGCTTCGCGAGAGCGGCTCATTGCTTTGTGTTTCGTTCGTACCCTCCGAGCTTAGTTCGTCATGCAAGCACGTGGTCGATAGCTTGCCACCGCACGAGACAGGATTGCCCTTTTCTGTCGCTCAGTGCTGAAAAGGTGGACTTGATTAGGCGGAAGTGCACTACTAGTCGCAAGTCTTGAGACTAGTAGTGTTTGATTCCGGCCGTGTCTGCAGAGTTCATTACTGGTAAGTGTGCTTCTCTGCTAGCCGTCTCTCAGCGGCAAAAACGCACACACCAGCCTTGAAATTATGATCACGCTGGCCTTCCATCCATCATTGCTTGACGTGCGCGACTGCATTTTTTTCATAAGATATTTTTTCACAATCCATCAATGAAGCGAGACCTCATTTCACAACCGTCATACCACTCATCGCGCATTGATCATCAGCATAAGGTTGCCATTCCGTTTTGCCGCACCAAATTCTTTTCAGCAGCCTTCTTACCGAAAACAGCCGCCGATTAGAACCACCTTCCCTCTTCCGTTGTATCAATAACAGACCCTTTGTTATTCAAGACTGCAATTTCTTAGCAATGCTTGTAACTATACGCAGTTTCTATTATCTATCTTTGTCTTGTATGTGCTTGAATTTTCATACATTTTTAGTTGACTTATGTTGCCTTCCTGATTTGCGCATCTGGTACTTGTTTCTTTATTTTGTCTTTTTTTCTTGTGTGTTATATATGTTGTACCCACCCACTCTGTAATGCCCTACGGGCCCTGAGGGTATTCTAATAAATAAATAAATAAACTTCGAGGGTGCGCGGTTCGGTTGGCACAAAATGGAAGCCCGCCCGTGTGCATGCCTATATTGAGGTCGACGTTCAAGAACCGCGGGCGGTCTGAATTCATGTCGTAGTTCATATTCACAGTGACTCATATTCAAGTTCGTACTCATAATCGTACCGTGGGTTTGTCTCAAAATCTTTACAATTATTAACCTACATATGTTTCTCGGGAATACGGACGTAGTGCGCACATTGTTACATTTGAAGATGCCGGTCCTGCCATCGTCTAGAAGGAGTGTGATCGTTTCGTAGTTTGGGAGGCTCAGGTATGCTGCCTAAGTGCAGTTACACTTGAGCCGGGGCTGCACAATGCCTTTTCACTACCAATGAAATTTTAAGTAGCCCGACGGGTCTCTAAAATGTTGACGATATATATGAAATCTATGGTTACGTCACTTACTGTGCGGTTTGTAAGTGTACACGATTGTTCTATTAAGGTGTCACTAAATATGGTAGTCGCCACACCCGTCGCGGTGGTGTATGTGGTTCATGTAGCTCGAATGCTGACGAAATGCCCTGCGGTGGTTTCTATGGAGGCAAAATTACAAAGGCCCATGCACTTTGACATAAGCGCACGTTGAAGAACAACATGATGCCGGAATTTCTGGAACATTGCGTTCTTTCATAATCACATCGTCGTTTGGGACGTAATACCCCAACCATGAACAATAACTGACACAACAAGACTTCTGTCATTTTTTTTTATTATAAAAGAATCCCTTACCGGCGTCCGGTGCCCGTGGAGCGAGTCGAACTTCACGGGCCACGTCCTGATCTATTGGCAACAGCGCTGTCGATTAAATGGGGCGCTGTTGGATAAATTAAGCCCGGAGTTTATAGAACGAGCTTTCATGAACTCTGTGCGTCATGTAAACGTGTGGGTATACATGGCATATTTCTGCTTTCTCTCGGGTGAATGGATGCTATGAGCGTCCGCTTTAAAGCGAGGTGGCGTCATGTGTGCCACCAGGCTCGACATTGCGCCCGACCGTCAGTTGGGCGCGCCCGAAGCTATCGTGCGTCAGACGCTTGTCGTCGGGCGAAGTTAGGCGTTCGGCCGCCAGTAAAACGCCGGACGTGACTCGGTTTTCAGTCACAGCAGAAGCCATTTTTGAGGCGACTGCTCAGTGGATGTGGCCTGCAGTCATCTTTAGTGGTTGGCTGCATCCGCAGAGCTGTTGCGGACGCTCAACTGGAACTGTAGCCCCAGCTATTTCCACGCGTCTCGCATCTTCCTTTGCACGTGGCCTGTGCCGTAAGAGGCCATTCTTCGCGACTTCGTGTCGAGAATTCACGTGCAAGTGCCTGTGGCCTTCAAAAAACTGTCACGTGATCTAAAACTTAACTCAGTATTTGACAGAAACCCGTCTGTAGTCTTGAACGCATATCTTGGTAGCGCGAAAAAAAAAACATGAACGAAAGAGAGCACACAGGACGACCTGTGTACTCCCCGTCATATTCGTAGTCGCATACGACTTTAGAATTATATTTCCTTCTCAAAAGATGATGCACACAAGGCTGTATCAAACAGCGCGCGCTCTGGACTGACGTCATGGACTGGACTGACGTCAGCGGTAAGCCCGCCTTCTGAGAAGATTGCCGACTGCACGAGTGGGACTATTTTTTCAGTCGCAAAAGACGATCCGCTGCAGCGCTTTGGTTATATTGGCCAGGCCTCTTCAGAATTCTAAGGTCACATCCGAGTGTACCCGGCAAAATCTTTGGCGAGAAATACCAAGCGCTGACCGATTGTTAGAACAAAAATGACGTTTAGGCCCTGCTATAGGGGGCCTTGTTTCCAAAGACAGAAATGTTTGGAGTGACGTTGATTTAATGGGCTTCATGATTTGACGTAAGCGTTTAGTTTATATCAAGGGAAGATTGCCTGAATTTCGATTGAGCATGTCATCTGTTGTCCGAGTCGGAACTGATTCCAAATGAAGCCTGGATAGTTCTTCATAAAACAGAGCGCACAAAACACGAGACAGAAAGAGATCAGGACAAGCGGACGAGCACTCGTCCTGATCTCTTTCTGTCCCGTGTTTTGTTTTATGAAGAACTATGAGTAACCGACACGTCCGAACCTTCTCCCTTTTGAAGCCTTGATATTTCGTTCTTTTCATTTTTGACTGTCTTCCCTCTGTCTCAGTCAATGGTCATTTTGATTGGCTCGTGGTCACGGCGTGTTCAGCCAGCGCGCTTGTTGCCACATGCTTGGTTTTTATATTGTAGCTGTATGCGGCTGAATTCTTTTTACAAAGTCACGAGTTTCACCAATCTAGACGTGGTCACAATTAACGCAAAGAATCCTGTATACGATGCTCGGTAGCTTCTCCTTTTCGAGATTACTGTTCCCAGAGCGTGTCTCAGCTTGTCCGTAGGCACGTGAGCGATGTATACTTCATACCCCGAAAAATTCGGGATGAACTTTCATTTACGCTTGTGACGTACGGTACAGCAATCCTTTCTTTTTTTTCAATTCCCCTATCTTGTCAATGGGAGGGCCGTATCGGGCATTTGGTTATGTAGGCTCTGTTCAATAACTTGGATCAATGAACTGGCTTAAAGATTGGTGGCGATAACTAAGCGAACGATGGCCACTTCCATTGGCCACCATGCCGAACATATCTCGTTCTAAAACGGATGGCAGATTGTGCTTTTTATGGCGCTAAGGGAAAATAGCTGCTTGGACAGTGATGATTAAGGACCTTTTAATTAAGCGCGAACCCTTTCTTTACTTACTGCAGACACTGGGTATCTATCTATCTATCTAATCATCTATCTATCTGTTCATCTATCTATCTGTTCATCTATCTATTCATTTATCTATTCATTTATCTATTCATCTATCTATCTATTCGTCTATCTATCTATTCATCTATCTATCTATTCATCTATCTATCTATCTATTTATTCATCTATCTATCTATTTATTCATCTATCTATCTATTCATCTATCTATCTATTTATTCATCTATCTATTCATTTATCTATCTATCTATCCACCTACGGCTAGGTGCTCTCGTGATAACCTTCTTTACTACAGGATGGGCCGACCAAAATTAGTATAAGATCATTTGAGGGTCTCACGATTATGACTGTAGGGTCATGACGTGAATAATGTTAGAATCCTGTCGCGGGTACAACGTCTGACCCTTTCCTCCAGACACGTGTAGCACATACCTGTATACCCCAGGCGACGATTTGCAGGTGTGTGCCACAGGTGTTTCAATGTTTATATATACCGAGGAACAGCGAGAACCAACATTGATGATTTAAATGCAAGAGCGTTAAGAGAAACCGACGTCAATGGAGGGGACCTCACGAATGCAATAAAAATATGCTATGGTTCAAGCAGGAATCGAAGCCAAGTGTTCGGCTTAGCAATCGAATACTTTACCACAGAGCCTTGCGAGGTCTTGGAACTCTTTCGTAAAAACACCCTCTGCAGGCGTAATGTTGGTGAAACGTCAATTGTGGTTGCAGTTCTGTCCGTTTAATTTTCTAAGCATTACATATGTGTCCAATGATACCGCACTACGTCGCATTAACGTCAATTGTGCTTAAGCGCCATCCGCTGAAGTTATACTATGTTAAAACGAGAAGTCTCGAGCAATGATATCAAGTCATGGCAATAGCTCTGTTGAACTACTACGCGCCAACAATGTCAATTATTTCTGCCTATGTGTCGCTTGTTCCGGTTTCTCTAACTGCAGTAATGCCCTCATAACAACTCACTTTGAAATTCGGTGAGTCTGTTGATTGGGAGGGTGACAAGAACACGGTGTAATTACGGTGAAAGCGAAAAGCAAAACCAACGTCAAAGTTTTTCGCGCAAAGTTTAGAGACCAAACGCGAGTGTGAGTTAAATTATGAACAGTGGACAGTTTCAAGAACACAAACAACAAATACTTTAAAAATTATATAGAACAATTACTAAGAATATGACTATTTTCTATGCGCAGATAGTGTGAATGTATGTCTACCCTGCTGGTCCATCCATGGCTTCAACGAACTTCTCAAACACCAAGCGAGAAAAAAACATTAATGGGGTGCAAGGTAGGGGAGGTCTACAAAAGGAGCCTCCAATTTACTACCCTATATTTGTTGTAAGAGAATATGGGTTATAGTGAGACAAGAGAGAAAGAGAGGGAGCACAAGGCACACACACACACACACAGTATGCAGAACTACAATCACTCACTGATGGTGCAGGGCTCCTCAAAGACAGTTGTAGAACACGAATAAAAACATGAGTATGGTGGTGACGCCAAATTTGGTCGGACGTTCACTTTTGCATGGCACAAAGAGATACGGTTCCGTGCACAGTACTGGACACCGTAGAGAGTGGTGGCACAAACACTGGACATTCTTTTGGTGCTTCGGTTGATTCACAACAGCAGACGCACTCATCTTCACACCAAGTATGCAGTCGGTTACAACCTAAAATAAATACAAGCCCCGCCTCCAATATTGCAGCGTGCCTGTCATACATTTGTGCTAAATAGTCGTGTTTGGTGGTATCCGTTTAATTATGAGTACGTTTTAACCGCTAATGTAAATGGGCAAATCATGAATGAAATGTTCGTCACTCCCTTGATAATATGTTGCGTTTTGCTGGGCAGGAGTTTGTCAGGAAGTTTGTTTTCGGTCAAGAATTATCGACACGAACTTGTACCTGCATGGGAATGCCGCATATTTGAAATACACGAAAAGTTGTTGACGTCACGTTATTGAGCTATCGCAATAGGATGAGACGTATGCGGTTTTCCTGTGGGACGAGGTTGAATTCATTCTTAGCTTGTAACCGACCGCAACTTGATTCAGCACTGTTTCAGTCGGTCAAGTTCAGTCGGTCCACGCGAATTCCTCCGCTTCTTGGTGAAGAAGCGCCTGATGAAGTTCTTCTTTTTACCTTTCCGCTTCACCTCGTTGTTGCCTAGCGGCTGGACGACCTCCTGCGTTTACGACAGTTGAAATAGGCAATTGGCATGGACGAGCCCTGGCAGTTGCGCTTAATGACGAACACACAGAAAGCCCTGACGTTTGCGGAGCCACTCGCACTGTATTCATAGATAGCGGACAATTGGCATGGACGAGCCCTGGCGATTGCGCTTAATGACGAACACGCAGAAAGCCCTGACGTATGCGGAGCCACTCGCCATGTTTACATAGATAGTGGGCAATTGGCATAGACGAGCCCTGGCAGTTGCGCTCAATGACGAACACACAGAAAGCCCTGACGTATGCGGAGCCACTCGCCCTGTATTCATAGATAGCGGACAATTGGCATGGACGAGCCCTGGCGATTGCGCTTAATGACGAACACGCAGAAAGCCCTGACGTATGCGGAGCCACTCGCCATGTTTCCATAGATAGTGGGCAATTGGCATAGACGAGCCCTGGCAGTTGCGCTCAATGACGAACACACAGAAAGCCCTCACGTATGCGGAGCCACTCGCCCTGTATTCATAGATAGTGCGCACGGTGCCACGTCAAAAAACCACGCGCTGACACGCTGCAGCGCATACGTGTAGTCGGGCATTTAAGTGGAGCTGAAACACGCCGGCAGACTCGATCGGACAGAGGAGCATGACGAGGTGTCATTGAAAGGGCTGCGTCGTTCGCGCATCAACAGCGAACTTTGATGGGAAGGACACGCTATCTCCACAAACATCAGTCGACATCAGTCCTTTGCTAATGCTGTGCTCTCACCGCTTATTCTACCCGTTATGGCGACAGAAAGTGCGAAAACCACTTCGCTCCCTGGAGCGACCGTATTCCCATACACCAGCATTTTGTCGAGTTATGAAGGGTCACGTCCTAGTGGAGTTAGCTGCTGGTTTTGCTTCATACAACCTCACTATTTGTGGCTGTCACAGTCATTACTTCTTCATTACTAATTACTAATTGCGACTATTTGCTACACAGAAGCCCGAATCGGTCCTACAAAATACTGGCTAATACTGGCTAGGTATTAGGGCGTTTTCAAGACTTTTTAGACGTACAATGCTTCCTCAATGACTTACCACATCGATTGTATTGAAATCATTGGCCTCGGGGGTGGCTTGTCTTCTTCTTACGTTCCTGGTCGACTACGAAGAAACAATGCGATTTCAAGTTAAAGATGCATAAAGTGAAGCGAGAATGGAGCAACACGATTTATGCAGCTATATTTAACCGCTTTATTCACGGTTAACCATATGACAAAAAGCAGGTACGCATGTGCATTTCACTGGTGTGTTCACAAATTCAGTACTAACAGCGATATGGGACAGGACGTAAGAAATGATGCGAAATCATTGGCCAGAGGATGTCCCTGGTACCTGCGACATTCTTTGTTTAACAATTTTTCATCACTTTAAGCCTCTATCTTTCCATGAACTTTTTTATTGGGAAATGAAAAAGGACATGCAAGTATTATTTAAGTCAGATAGAATATTTGAATATTATAGAATGAACACAGTATTGCAAGTATTACTTTTTTTTTTGAAGTTTCGTGCCATTTTGTTCCGTTATTTCTTTCAGTTATACTTTTCTATTTTACTTTATATCTTATCGACGGAAATAATTCAATTTTCTTTCTTTACACGCATGCAGCATTAATGAGAACTAGCGGACAGCAATGCCAAGGGTGATATGGGGGCTGTTATTAGCAGTAAATGCAGTGTAAATGTTAAGAAAGAAAAATGGACGAAAATATAACCTGCCGCGGTCAAGGACTGAACCTGTGACCTTCGAAATATGCCTCCGATGCTCTACGAACTGAGCCACCGCTAAAGCCCAGATGTCCATTCGAAGGTCTCAGGTTTCGTCGTGGTCTGCAACAAATTACCGTTTCGTCCACTTTCCTTTCTTTGCGTATACAATATAATTACTATAAATACCATTACCTATACTTTTCTTGGCATTGTTGTCTGTAAGTTCTAAATCTTATTGTTTTTTTTAAGATATCATGTCAATGTTTTAGTTGCTGTCTTTTAATCAAGCAAGTGAATGCGGAAACAATGTGCGAATAGAAGCCCAGATGTAAAAGATAGGACTGTACGGCAGATCGAAAGTGAGAAGAAACGCAATTAAGTAATAGCATCAACGTAATTGATTCTATGTCTCTCACATTGGGTATAGTTATGTCTTTCAAAAAGTCTGATTCTTGATTGTATAATGAAACTTATTACCACATGTGCAACACCAGGCTTCCACTTTCAAGTAGTGCAGAGAACATAACATGTCAATTTTTTTTTATTTTTTTGCGCACGAGCAGAGAAGTTTGGCAGTTAAAAGTAGCTATATTAAAGTGACCGGCACTGCTTTGCACCAGCAGTACCTCAAGAGCTAGTAGTAATAGTAATAATAGCTGTTGTGCTTTTACGTCTCAAAATAACGATCACATTACGAGACGCCGTATTGGTGGGCCCCAGAAGTTCGGACCAGAAAGGTTGCTTTTTTTTTTTCAACTTGCACTGGAAACTAAGCACATGGGCATCTGGCATTCTGCCTTCATGAAACGTGGTTGCCGTGGCCATGATTCAATCCGGTTACTTTCGGGTCGCTCAAGCACCAACGTTCTGACAAGAAAAACGCAACTCTGACGCAATTCTTATCAAAACGTTTGTTCCTGAAATAATGTAACTGCGAATTGCGTTTAATGCGAATCTGCTTACCTCATCGGGGGCTCCTCGAGGCCCGTCAAGCAATTCGTCGTGGAGTTCCACTAAACGAAGCCTTTCATCCATTTGCTGAAACGAAATACCACAATTGCTGGAAAAACTTAGCAGGATCCCAATAGCAGGACAAGGAGTGTACTTTTCAGTACAAAAGGTTGTGTTCAATTTTATTAGTCTGCTAAATAAATATTTTGGTTTTTACGTGTAGTGTCGAAATTTTTTTGTCATTTTCATGTTTGGTACCTTCGTTATTCAAGGCACGGTTTATCTGCTTTCTTTCTTGAGTTGGTTCTGCCACTCATTTTCACATTTTTCTGTTTTTGTAAATTTGCACTGCATATGTATCCCAAGTGCATACCTGCTGTTCTAAATAAGAATTGACTGATTTATTTATTTATTGATTGATTGATTGATTGATTGATTGATTGATTGATTGATTGATTGATTGATTGATTGATTGATTGATTGATTGATTGATTGATTGATTGATTGATTGATTGATTGATCAATCGATCGATCCTGGGTCGATTGATCAGACTTGTTTTTTCGAGCTTGTTTCGATTGATCGAACTCGTTCTTCGTTTTCTTATTCACAAATGAACTTCTTTCTTGAACGATGCCTTCATGCAGTTTGAGCTAAGTTTCTTCGTCTTTGTATTTGTGTGCGTAGACTTTTGCTTTTGTTTTTGTCACAAAGGAAACACCACTGCCCGATGCTACATTTTCGCTGCGTATCCTTTCATCTTACACTCAGCCACGAGAACCCTGCCCCTACCAATGTACGAGCCAGCTGCTTGCGCGTGCCAAGACAAATCAGGCTCGACTGCTTCGTCAGCAGCGAAACAGAGCTGCTGCCATGCAGGACACCATCCTCCCTCCCACGTGGGCCTTCTCCGTTTGAGCCTGATCGTCGTAGGCTCTCGCACGCTTTCACTCGCACATAGCACACATGACGCTCATGGCGACGTTATTGTCTGGAACTTTATACGGAACCTCACGGTGACGGCGACGACAAATTCATTGGTAGTGTCGATATAACTCTTATTGCTATAAAAGCTAAGGACTACGCAGTACGCAGTGAAACATGAAATGTAGGACTTAGTATTATGAGATTGAAATCTAGTAGAGCGGCTCAGACAACAAACATTGATGGCCGATATTCAATGTAATGCTTTGGTGGACGAGAAGGTATATTGTCCTTAAGTAAAGAAGAGCAAGAAAAAAAGACTGTAGAAGTGTGACAAGACGAGATAGGGGATCTTTACAAACCACCCGTGCGTCTTCTCATCTCTCTTGGTCTGTATTTCCCGTGCCCTGCCTTTACTTTAAGCTGATATTCTAGTTGCCATCAGACTGAACGAGCGTACATGGGCCAGCCACACAGTCCATGCAGAACCGGTAATCAGAGCAACAAGCCGTACATCATCGTCCGCACTTACGTTGGAGAAGGCCCGCATGTGCAATGTATTCGTAAAAAGAATCCAGTCAGGCCCACTTTGAAACCTGTAAAAACAGGGATGCTGAGATTGTGTGTCCGTGTGATTTTCTGTGATGATTTGTGTCTGTGTTGGTGTCTGTGAATACGTCCTTTGTAAAGATGCACGCGAACGAAACGTGTGGCAGCCCCTCCTGCAGTGACTTTAAACCCTGTCCACGATCGGACCCGCTTTCCCCGTTTGAGCGAATCGATACCGCTTTATTCGCGATGGAGTCAACTACGCGATCTGTGGGTGAAGCTGGGAATCCGAACTTGACATGTGACGCGCGACACTCATGTGTCGTCAGGCCCGGACCTAATACAACTTCGCTATTAAATGTGTAGGTTACCCATTGGGGAGCCTTTTTTTTCAATTGTCTACGTTTAAGATTGTTACAATGATCTTTTTGGGGGTCTTCGTTCAGTTATTCTCCTAACAAACTGAATTCAGTCTAACCCATGGTTTGTATAGCTCCTCACTTCGACGATGTCTGAGTTTGGCATTTGCCGGATGATGAATAGGGGTGGCGCCCTATAGTGGCTGAAGTGGTGCACTCACACGGCTCTCTTTCTCGCCGCTCACACAGCCCTTGAGTCCGGTCACCGCGAGGGTTATCAATAATCCAAGCACCCCGCACACGAGAACGGCGGGAACCGCAACATGGGCACCTGCCGCCAGGGAAATTCCCGCGCCGGCTGACAGGACTATTGCACCGCCAAGCTGCGCTGTCTTGGAGCGATTCGTCTCCAGGCACGATTTCAGCGCCACTCTGCTCATGAAGTCCTGGAACCACTCGTCGATTTCCTGCGAGGTGCACCAATCAATCACCAAACAACTCTGGCATATTCCACGCATTGTGCAATGCGTCTCACGTGAAGCGGTCAGCAAATATTTTTATGATGAATATTTCGATATTGAGCAAAGCTTTGAGGCGTTGTTTGACGTGTTTCTGTAAAGTCAATACTCGTGTGTAGATTGTGCTACACTGGCGCTACAACACTGGCGCTACACTGGCGCTACACTGGCGCTTAAAACTGGCGCTACACTGGCGCTACTACACTGGCGCTTAAAAGAGTAGCTTGGCGTACTACGTAACGTCCACACTGACATATATATTTGAAAGCTTTCCGATTAAACTTTCAGTTGGTAGTTTGCACTTGCTCATGTCCTAGCTGTCGTTGCCTACATGTCGCGCTCGCATTTCAATCATCGTGAATCACCAACTCGCCCAATCAACCATTTCGAGAAGTCGATTTATATATGTGCCATAGTGCGACGGATGGCATTGTATGTGTATCATCTCTGACTGTATTTCTCCTTGTTCGAGCGACGTTTCAATTTTGATGGGTCATACCAACAGCCACAAACGTCTGTATGCGATCTTTGTTGCGAAACAGTTTCAAACAGAGGCGTAGCTGTGTGGTACATATCGAGCCTTGATTTTTATTCTTTGCTACCATCTGGATTTCTACCCATTGACGCCGGAGATCATTTTTCACGACACGGGTGCCTTCGCGCGATTGCGTTATCATTTTCAAAGTCTGGCGTGATAAAAAAGTGGCAGCTTTGCCGCAAAAGTGAAACAATGAACGTGATAGCAGCAAATTAGAAGGTCACGCGCAGAACGGCAAGCAGATCGAAACGTGTCCCGCGTTTCTCGCGCACAAAGGACGCACGAAACGTACTCACAGGTACAGATTAACGCGAATAAGCGTCTCAGTTGTTACTTCGCTGTGTCTGAAAAACGCGCCCTTTTCGCAAACGGAGGCTGTGCAACGATTGCAGTGGCCTTTGTGTGCCCGGTAACTACAACAGAATCGTTCCGACGAAACTCAAAGGCTAGCTAAGATGTACGATTCTTCCCACTGCAAGATAATGGCACGTGATCGAGCGTACGCCCCTTTATTTTCTATGCGGACCAGAGTACGTGTGAGAGATAAGAGCCACCACGCGCCTTGCTGATAATGCAAAACACACGCTGGTTCTCCCCCCCCCCCCCCGAGATGCCCGCCAACAGTGGTAAGTGGCATACATGAATAGCCGTTTGAACGTTGGAGGAAGTACCTCTCGGTGGCTCAGTGGTTAACGCCTCGCATTCACGACGCGGAAGTCTTATGCTCGATTCCGCGCGCCGGAGTCTTTTTTCTGGGATTCTTTTTCTTTCTTACGTTTTCATATATATACATACTCATACATATACGGTGCATGACATTGACGCCACCGTCGACGCCAACGCCGGCGGCGAAATCCAGCTGATGATGTTCCTATAATTGCTATCGCAATAAAACTGTTACTCGCCTGGTACCAATAACCGTTTACAGCGACCCCTGTAACGCGGGCGTCTACCACATGAGGCGGAGGGAAAAGAGTTCATGACGTACGAGACCAGCGTTTAGTGTTATTCGTGTCCTGCCAGCCGTGTTCTTAACCCTCATGCCCATGGGAGTGCCGCAAGCGGCACCATCATGGCTACACCACCAGCAAGATTTTGGGTGCACGGGGCCACGCATAAAGTTTTGTGATGCAACAAATGCACTGATTTGATTAGGACACGGTTGTGACTCACCGTCTGTGGTATCAAGCACAGAACTGCCGTTATGTCGACGGCATCAGGGACTTTTATATCATTCTCTTTCAAACTTTTATTCCCCTTACCCCCTTCCCCAGTGCAACGTAGCCTACCGGGCTCAGCTATGGTTAACCTCCCTGCCTTTCTTTCATTGCTTTCTCTCTCTCTCTCATGACCTTCTGCGCCAATTTTAGTATTACAAAGGTGAGAGGTGACCACCTGGGCACCCTAACGTAGGTGGTTAATACATAGGGTTTTGTGTCCCGAAACCACGATGATTATGAGAGGCGCCTTAATTTTCTTGTCTTGATAAAAATAACTTCCTTGTGATGATAAAAATTTTGAATTGTGCACGGAAGACCCCTTCTACGTTCCATCGATATACTAAACGTCTAGACAAACTCGCAGGCTCCATCATGAATAAACCTAAGATGACTCGAAGGCGTAACCCATCATCTTGACCATTTTCTTCCAAGTCAATGCACTGATCTTTCCGCACCCACCCCAGAAATCTATCTGCACCCCGCCTAGATTCGCACAGCCTCCGTGATCGGCCTGCCTTTGACAAAGTGACAGTTTCGTGTGATGAGGTCATCTTGCAACTGTTCTCTAATCACTCGTGTTGACGACGCCAACGGTTAGTTTCTGCGTTTGAGGAGGCGTCTAAGGCAGTCGCCCTTTAAAATGCTACCTCAAACTTGTGACGCTCTACAAGTGGGCGGGTAATTGACGTGTCATGTCTGTAAGATGGCAGTGCACGTACCTGTTTGAGCTTATCCAGGTACGGCTGCGAAAATTGATCACCTCCCATTTTGGCAATATTCTGGAACTTCGTCAGGGCGTTTTCCCGCTCTTCGTTGTGGTAGTCTCTGAGCCTTTTCGCACTCATCTTCCCTCCTCTGCACCGCTGTAGTTCACATAAAAATATTCGTCTATTTTTTAAAATAAAAGCACTATTGCCTACCTGTGTCGACTCGACTCACCTGGGTCATCCTAGTCGTGTACAACTTCAGCGCTTTCAAAACCGCCGCTAAGTTGTTGGCTCTAGCCGTCGCCTGGAATAAGAAAGCAGCCTGTTCAAAAACTGTTATCTCCTATATATACTCATCCAAGCCTTACCTGGGCATGCTCGACCAACATTGTGTAGCCACGCAAGATGCGAAATTCACGAAAATGTCAATAATCATTTGTGATCTAATTCAGTGTACCCCTAGAAGGAGCCTTCGTTTGGCCCACAATGTCCAGCATTATCCAGGATGTGCTCATTATGGGCCACTGATTGGATTCCAAGAGAAGGCTAATGCGCAAGGGAGAGAGTGAAAGTAAGGGGGGGGGGGGGGGGCAGGTGTGATTAAGGATTTTGTGGGTACAACATGGCAAGCACTAGACCGTGTTGATCGGCCAAACATGGGAGGAGCCTTTTCCCTTCTGTGATGGTAGTGCGGCTGCAGCTACGGCTGATGATGTCGATAATGGAAGAGAAGAATCCTTGTACAAATGTCAATATCGCGGTTGAATTCATGTGAATTAATCAGTGACCCAGTTAGGCACCACTGCCTTCAAAATTGGCCTACATTTTTGGACAAGAAATGGGCATTGTACACAATTACGTACTGCGGATAGAAGGAACCAAGGGGGCATTATCTTCAAAGCACTGAGAATGGCACATTGCTTTTTTTGTGATGTCTTAGTCGGGTACGAGTTGAACAAAGCACTGTTTTCAAATCGCTCATCTTTATGTCTCACTGCAAATCGCTTCGTAACCCTTCATTGAGCTCACCTGTAGCACTGACATTGGCTCGGGAAGTTCGCCTCTATTGAACACACCTACATATGCCTGTAAAACAAAAAGGAGTCAGTACATGTGGACTCGCAGGTTAGTGAGGTGCCTTACTTTCATATAGATGTGAAATTCTCCGCAAGTGAGGACTTCACCATTTATCTTCTTGACTGTCAGGTTGTCCGGAGCTAGCAGTGAAGGAACCAAGTTCTGCAGTTGTTCCTTGAACTCCTCCTCAATTTCCGACAAGCGGCCGTCAAACGATGTACCCGTCGCCACCTGTAGTCAAAGACGTGAACATGATTTCGGTTCGTATGGTATGCCAGTGCCACTACTGTAGGAGCTGATGTTGTACTTTTCACTCAAGTGGTGTGCCCGTGTGAAACTGAATCTGTGATATCGTTGATTAATATGTGGGGTTTAACTTCCCAAAACCACCATATGATTATGAGAGACGCCGTAGTGGAGGGCTCCGGAAATTTTGACCACCTGGGGTTCTTTAACGTGCACCCAAATCTGAGCACATGGGCCTACAACATTTCCGCGTCCATCGGAAATGCAGCCGCCGCAGCCGGGATTTGAACCCGCGACCTGCGGGTCAGCAGCCGAGTACCTTAGCCACTAGACCACCGCGGCGGGGCTAATCTGTGATATCGTATGCTGGAGGTCCTTAGTATGCTGTCGAAAACAAGACGCATGCTACTGGTCGATCGGTATCGGCGTAGTTCAATTGAAAGGACACTAGTACAAGCAGTGTGACCCCCAACAAGTGTGTTTGAAATAAAGCGGGTATTGTACTCACTGAAGGGGGCACTAAAGTGAAACACAAAGCCAGTTTATAATTGGGCTGTTGGTTGTTCTTTCAGAACGTGTCGTTAATTGCACCATCGAAGTTTCATTTGTAGGAGGGAAAAAGGCGCAAAAAACGAAATCATCACATAGACTCCTGTAAAAATATTTGCATATGCAGCCATGCTTCGGTGGTTGCAACCGTTACCACCTTAACAAACACTGCGCTCGTTATCCAACTTTCCGAGTAAATACTCCCGGATTACAGAATGCGTGCTCCCAGATTACAGGACACCGCCTCATTGTCTCACTAACACTGAATCAAGAAACCCTATGAATCAATGGCATGCTTGTCTGACGAGTGCCATCTCAGCACCTTTAGCGACGAAGGTTCAATAGCAAAATCTAAGTAGTGTCAACCAACTTCTAACCTTTGTGCCAGGATGCGGCAACAGGAAGCAGTCGATGTTCGTGAAACAGGAGTGAATGTACTGCCGCAGCTCCTGCAGCTGCTTGGGTTGATCTGATATCTGCAGACGTCGGTCCAGTATTTTGCGTCCACCGTCATTACCATATTCCGCGTCGCTTAGGTGATACCAGTCCCGCACCAAGAATAGTAGCTTTTGAAAAGGCTTCCCGGGACTTTGCTGCATCACAAATTGATGAATGAAAAACATCAGATGGATACCTGTGACCTCGTCGCTCCAGAAAGCTGATAAGCTCATGGAGAGGGCTGTACGAGTACACAATCAACAACGCGGAAACCTAACTTTTGCATTTATATGCACTTCCTGACGGAGACCTGCACACGAAGGCAGGGGCGGAGAGGGGCACAGAAGAGCTTCATAATCACCTAAGGGGAGGTGTGGGGTCTGCCCTGTAAAGTTTAAAAAGTAGGGTTATGGCTACACAAAGTTTTGGCAACAGTGCCAACCGAAAGCTTTGGTCAGCATTCCGAGAACATTTTACTTACCCCCTTATGCCCTTACCCCCTTATGTTATCCTGTGTTCTACTGCCTTAACGTGTTTTTGTTGCTTGAACTTTCTTTTTAAGTTGCACTGTGAATCACTTTTTATTATGCCCCCCTGCTTGGTCTTTCGACCGCAATATTCTGTAAATAAATAAATAAATAAATAAATAAATAAATAAATAAATAAATTTACTGCTTGAAAGATAGGCACCAAAGGCAGGCCATTGTAAGAGGCACACTAATGTGTCAATTTTTTCATTCATTGCATAGCGTGTCTTTTGAACTCGACCAAAAAAAGGGGGGGGGGGGGAGGCTGACAGCGCTACGATTTTTCTCCCCTCAAATTTGGAACCCTGCTAATTCCTATCCTCGCGTACAGATTATCTTGACAACTAACTACCTTGGCGATGCACTTATAAGGTGGGAAAATGCTAAGGGCACACCACTAAGAACGCTGGACGCAGCTAAACAGGACGAGCGCAAACTGACAGTGAAACTAAGTGGCAATAATTTACAACAATTTATTACGTGCTTAACTGGCAATTCGTTACAAACAACGAAGCCGGGGCTCTATGGAGATCCAAGTTGCGTGATTGCTACCACAACTCTTAGATTACTGTATTCTTTGTGTGGATTACACGCGAGAGAAGCACTTTTTTTTTCACTTGTTAAAGAATGAGCCTTCTTCCACTCAATTCATACCTGCTGCGCAAGTCGACCGTAGTCGGCAAAGAGCTGTAAATAATGGAGGTCGCTTTCAAGAATGTTTTGAGAAAGGTTGTAGACCAGCACCGAGCTCATCATTGTGCTCAGGGCGAAGATGGTGGCCGATTCCTTGATCGTAGAGTGATCGTCGTGCATTCCTTGGGTGTCCATTAGGAGCACGGCGATTTCGTGGCCTTGAGATGTCTTTACCTGCAAAAGAGCCACCTGGGTTAGACGCACGTGCGCTTTTCTCTTAGCCTGCTATTCCCTCATCTAACTTTGGACTTGTGGCATTCAGAAGACCTCGAACCCGATCATTAACTAGATATGTAGTTCAGCCTCTTACGACGTGACTATATACCCTGCTGGTACGTCTGTAGTTTGAGGTGATCTACTCAATTGCCTATTCATTTATTAATAGAATGGCTAATAGCCAGCTTTGTGAAGTCTGCGGGTGCAACGTAGTACTCACGCACCTTCACTTCGAGTGCACCTGCCTCAGCTTCGACAGAAGTTTTCACAGAGAACAAAATCCTCGTACAGCTTTTCCTGACTTTCAACGCATGCTTTTCTGCGAGCAATGTTGCGGCCTCTTCAAAATACGGGACTGAATGACCAATCCTCCTTTTTTATTTGCCCCGCCGTGGTGGTCTAGTGGCTAAGCTACTCGGCTGCTGACCCGTAGGTCACGGGATCGAATCCCGGCTGCGGCGGCTGCATTGGCGGCGGAAATGGAGCCCGGAAATGTCGTAGGCCCGTGTGCTCAGATTTGGGTGCACGTTAAAGGACCCCAGGCGGTCGAAATTTTCGGAGCCTTCCACTACGGCATCTCTCATAATCATATAGTGGTTTTGGGACGTTAAACCCGACATATAAATGAAGCACGTTTTCCATTTTCCTGTGCTGCCCTCTGGCGTATCAGTAGAGTCTGGTAGGGGCTGGCAGACCTGGCGCGATTAATATATATATATATATATATATATATATATATATATATATATATATTGTAACGATGAGAAATAAGAGACATCGCCTTTGCTGCAGGCCGGCTGTTCTTATTCTGCTTCCTCTTCCTCCGCTTCCGTAACCCTGCCTGCGCCCTTGCCTGAGCCCCACTATTTAATATCATTACACTCGGCCCCGACTGCGAGCCTCGTGGGCTACCGACAATGTCTCCGGTGGGCGGCATTGACTATTCCGGGGTGGCCGGGCTCGGCCAAGCTGATATTTCACATGGAAGTTTGTTGAAGGAGATTCCGGAGGACGACACTGGCTGTGACGTGATGGTCGGTGCAGGCGTCGTCCACGATGGGGCCAACGCTGTTGACTTGGACAAGATGCCGCTAGCAGGAGATACAGACTCCTGCAAAGTGGCCGCGTTGGTTTAATCTCGTCGGTTTGAGCATCCTGTCGCAGTCGTGTTACAAATGCTGGAAATAGTCCACGCTGCACCGTCACCTGCTGCACTGAGCGTCGACGCCTGCGTTGCTTGCGGTGTGGCAAGGGGCGTCGGGGTGTCTTTGTAGTCATCTGAGAGCCGAGTTCAGGTTGCAGCTTGAGAGGCAACGCGTGCTCTTGCAGCACTGCCTTTGTCGGACTCATGCTCAAGCTGCTTATTCCTATAGTTTCACGTGCAGTAGAGCCTTCATTGTCAGATGACCTGTCACTAACCGGAAGTATTACCTTCTCTGGTAGGTCTTTGCTGACAGTGACTTTGAAGGAAGCGGCGCTTAGCGTGTGGCAGACGTCCGCACACTCGGCCACAGACTGACGTGATATCAGGAGATGTCGCTTCGAAGTGAGGGTCAGCACTGTAGGGTTGTTCGTCCCAGGGTAGGTGGTTAAATTGGCTGTCGGGAAGCTGCAAAATACAGCTGAAGCCGCGAGGGTGGTCTCCTTCTCGGATCTATTCTCGGTAGCGGTCGCGTAAGACTGGGTGGTCGTGGAGAGGTGATGGTGACTCCGTCCAAAAGCAGCTATGAGCTTGTCACTCCAGTCCACCCAGGACGTCTGCCGCACGCCTTCGTATCGATGCCAAGCCGCGGCAGCATTCCGAAGGCGGTCTATGGCCATGCCCCACTTCTTTTGGTCCGTCCACGCTGCGTGATCTCCGACAGCGTTGACGGTTGCCACCCATTCCTTGGCATCGTCCTGGAAGCCGCGAAACTCCGGTAGCTCGAAGGAAATCGGCGATGGCGGGACTGCGGGCAAAACTCCGAAATGTGCCCACGCCAAGCAGTTCACTTGCTCTGATACCTCCGTGAGAGAACGCCCGAGATTGCGACGGTTCTCGGGCGAGCTTACCTCGAAGTTTTGTGAGGCGGCCGCAGCCAACATGGCATTGAGTGCGCACAATGTTGGCAAGATGGCAGGACATAGCTGGGAGCTCGACGCTATGAGGGCGTTGGTCGTGACGCGGAGTTGCGCGATGGTATGCTGCAGCTCCGCTGCGCTGTCGTGTGATCCGCACGAAGAGCCAAGGCCCGCCTCTGCGGAGGATACAGTGACTGCGGTACTCGAGGTGGTACAATTGCTGACCAAGGACGCGTGGACGGCGTCCCTTGGAAATCCAGCTGTGGTAGGAATCGTGGACATGGGTTCCAGGGCGCTGGAAGCGTCAACGACGTTCCCAGGCAAGCGGAACCCATGTGATGAGTTGTGACCTGGTACTGCGGCGTAGATGAAGCGGTCTTGCGCCGCCGGGTAGGCCTCGACGCCGTACACGGTGGGTGCTTGAAGCGCCGACAGGTTGCCAGGTATGGAGGAGGCATGTACGCCATCCCTAGGTGAGAGAGGCCCGTGCGCATGGTTGCCGCGACGTGTCGCGTCCCAGGACAAGTTTCCCGGAACCACAACGGAGGCCTGGACGCCATCCGTCGGTGCTGGGATGGATGCTGGCCGCGACGGACGCCTTGCGGGTTCCATCAGCGAAGAAGCGTGACGGCGTTCCTTATCGTGATCTGGTACCGGTAACGGGTGCTGGAGCCGCCGAGGAGGCCTTGACGCCGTCCCTGAACGGTGGTGTCAGTAAACAGCTGCCGAGGAGGGCTTGACGCCGTCCTCAAGCGACGCTTACCGCGGCTGCACGTCGGCGGGCGTTGTGGATGACGAAACCGAGACGTAAGCCGTTTTCTTCGTCGACTGCGCCATTGTAACGACGAGAAATAAGAGACAACGCCTTTGCTGCAGGCCGGCTGTTCTTATTCTGCTTCCTCTTCCTCCGCTTCCGTAACCCTGCCTGCGCCCTTGCCTGAGCCCCACTATTTAATATCATTACAATATATATATATATATATATATATATATATATGTGTGTGTGTGTGTGTGTGTGTGTGTGTGTGTGTGTGTGTGTGTGTGTGTGTGTGTGTGTGTGTATATGTATGTATATATTCTGAAGATTATTCCTGGCTAACTGGTTTAAATGCAAAGAATGAGCTCACTGTGATAAATATCAACATTTATTTTAAACACTTCATTTGTCAATGTTTCGATTGGAGACCGATATTCATGAAGACGAAATTTATCAAGCTTCGATGTGCTTTTATATCATCGTTCTTCGATTCACGAGAGAGATAAAGTAGAAACAAAAAAGTTCAGAAAAATTTTGTTGCCAAAAGACCATGTGCACATAATCGTACTTACGAACAACACTTGTTTCTTCTAAAAAATAAAAAAAATAAATGGAAAGGCATGCGCGAAAGAAAAATATCCAGGCATTCATAATTGATACAGATGGACACATTTAATGCATTCCTGTCATCCATTGTCAAGGTCCACTTCTACGGCTTTCCTCTGTTAACTTATGCCTGATGACAAATTAAGTATAGGTACATTCTTTTCGTTTATCGTCACTCCCCAAATTTTTTCTTCCCCCTCCTTAGTTGCTCGTGAAGCCTATAATGACGGGGCGAAGCTTCACATGAAGGGATAAACGCTGAAAGAAAAAAGGATGGGGGCGGGGTCAACTGTTTAAAAATTGAGCCTGAATCTGTGAAAAAGTAAGGCAATAGGATAAAAAAAATAAGGGGGGAGGGGGGCCCAAAGTTCCAGACCATGCCACCTTATGAATACGTGTGTTAGCGTCCAGGGAACTTTTAACCCCCCCCCCCCCCCGTACTTTAAATAAAAAAACAGGCAGCTACAATCTCCCAGCTGTGGCTCAAGATTATGTTCACGAATAAAATGAAGAGTACCTTTGAAAACTTTGCCGGACGGTCAAATATACTCTGTCGGTGACGACAACCAAGTGGCGACAACCAAGAACAGGCTCTTCATAACTTATATATTATAATCGAAGAAAGAGTTCAATACATCCGGGGGGAAATGCAGTCGAAAAAGAGGACCACAAACGTGCGAAACATAAGGTCTACTAACGTTTAGGCAACAGGGCATGCCTTGGTCAAAGCGAGTGAGTTTGAGTCGTCGGAATTTCATTTTGTCTTTGTCTTGTGTTGTACGATATATTTAAAAAAATGAAATGCGAACAGATTCAACATTGCGTTACTTCATGTAAATGAAAAAAGGCAAGCTTCACCATATATATAGTGGTGCCAAGCATGGAGGAAGCACACAGCTGGGCAGCTTTCTTTGTTTCTGATGATGATGATGATGATGATGATGATGACGACGATGATGATGATGATGATGATGATGATGATGATTGTGACGACGATGATAATGATGATGATCCTTGGATCATTGGCACCTACCCACTCTGGGGTACCGGTCTTAAGTCGAACGGATTATGCATACTGCATTTATTATTAATATTTAGTAAGAGCTACAATAATTTTGAGATGATTTTTTATAGTAACGTTTATTATAAATAACTATAATTTTAAGTCGCACTATTTTGTGTAATCTCGCAGAGACTGAAGATCTTTTGACTAGAAAGGGTGAATAAAGAATTGTTGGTAGTTGATACACCTACCAAATCTATTCGAGTCGCATATAAACTTTTCGACAGCTTTGAAAATATTCCTGTCCGAGTACCCCAGTGCGAAGGCCCCTTCAGTTTTATCTGTGTTTCCTCCTCTTTTTCTTTCTTGCTTTCTTTTTCAGATGCTTCGGTGTTCTCTTTAGTTCATTTTATTTCTATTTTTCTTCGTATTTACGCGTTTCTGTCTCATTATATCTCTCGCTTGCTTCGAGTTTCAATTTCATATTTGGTCTGCGTTGTTCTTTCCTTAGCCATACTTGTAATGTCCGCACTTGATGTCATCACCATTGTGATCGAAGAGAAGGCCTGTTGTGCCATATGCTGTTTCGCTTGCGTCATGCCAAGCGACCACGACACCGTGGGTCAGGCCTCCTGAAGTTTTCCGAACTTGAGAAGTATTTAGTCAGTGAAGACATTGACCGAACGGGATTCTTGCGTGCTTCTGAAGGTTGCAGACAGCGCTGCGCACTTCTCACCAGAAAGACTTCGTTCCACACCAGAATGCCCGTTGTGTGCCGTTCGCAGCCAGCGCGCCAATCGAAGCCTCGTAGTGGGGCATCCCGATCCTCCAGCCAGGAGCTTCGGTCCGAATGCTGCAGGTACCGCAGGAAGAACCCCAGCAGGAAGGACTTCCCCGTGCGAAAGGCGCCGGCCACGGACACAACAGCCACGGGCTTGTCCCTAACGCGTTCGTTCAGTAGGAGGCGCCTCAGCGCACCCTCGTCCAGTTCGATGCACTCTTCACTAATGCGGACAATTTGCAGCTCGTGGCCACTGCCAACTCCATGCGAGGCCCTGCGCAAGTCGCGAAACACGCGTGTGAAATTTCTATTCGGCTATTTCCACGCAGTGAATAATATTGTTGGACAGCGAAGCTGTCAGTGGTTGAACGTGTGTGATTTGTTAACGATATCACGTGGCCTCATAAGTTCCCCGCTGAATTGGGAATACGCTCACTTACACATTTTCAGCCCCTCAGCATTGCCAATCATTTTCATAACGTAGCATCATAGTCATTTCTATCGTCATCGTTAACATTGTTCCAAGCACGATCATCAATATTATTTGGTTTTATTTATTTTTTCATTCACTACCCCTCCGGTCATTTGACCTGAGTGATACCGACTACATGTACTGCTAAGCCGATGGTGCCGACGCGAGGTGCACAAGTGCAGTCTCGCTGTACAAAAGACATACGGAAGTCTTCAAAGTTCACTGACGGTACGTTTGCAATCAGCCAGTTAGCACAAGCTTAAATTGCTCATCATCACCATCATCATCAATTCACCATCAGCGACACTACGCCCACTGCAGGAAAAAAGCACCTCCCATGCTCCGTCAGTCAACCCGGTCCTCTACTTGCGGCGGCAACATTGTACCCTCAATCTGCTCAATCTCACCTGCCCACCTAATTTCCTCTCGACACTTCACACGTCTGCCTTCTCTTGGAATCCAGTGAGTTACCCTTGATTACCAGCGGCTATCCTGCCTACGCGCTACGCCCGGCCCATGTCCGATTTTTCTTGATTTCAATCAAAAACAGGGCATTAGCGCTAATTTACCGACAAAAAGCAGCCAACTACTCATGAAGACGACGGGGGTAAGAAACCATACAACCAGTAATGTCGCCATAAAGTTGACGTTTTGATATAGGAACTTCTTATACCGAGGGCAGAAACAGTTTTCTTTGGCAGTAAAAGCTTTGCAGTCTTCCTTTGCATTCCTAGAAGATTACAAATCACTGGACTCGGAAGACACAGGGAAAGGTTACCGCAGGATCTCTCAGCAGCCTGGCATTTGCACATAGCACAGTGCTCTAGAAATGATGCTGTCTATTTGCGAAAAAAAAACAAAAGCAAAGGATTGAAGACTGAGTTCGAGAAAGTAGTGAAGTAGGACTAATATGAATGTACTGTGGACAAAAGTGCAGAGAATGCGAGGTAGATGAGAAAAAAATATATGTTGGCAACCAGCTCTTGTGGAGTGTACAGTGACGTACACTGTAAGGGTGAAGATGACTCAGTGGGACGGCGCTCTGCGGAGCGCAAGGACAGCCGGTGCGGCCGCACATCAAATCGAAGCGACACAGGACACACACGAGCGTGACACTCAAGCTGTACTACAAACAAGCGAGACCGGCGCTTGGCTGCTACTGCGGAGCGGTGCGCCCAAGCGACGCAGAATACGACATAAAGCATCTCCCGTGCGTCTATGTTCTCAGGCATAGCTACGCTTGATGCTCAGCCGCGCCGGCACACTGACTGCTGGGCCGTGTTGACCCCAACAGTGGACAGCACAAGAGAATATATAACTTGGTCGAATACAAGTAGTCACGCAGCTTGAAAGCTTGCCTTGAAGATTTTCGTTTTGCATTGGAGCTTGCCATTGTCCTTTCTGCACCTGCCTGTAAGATCGAAGTTTATTAGATGCTACCTGAAAAATAATGATATGGAGCGCGATCAGTGATGATGCACCTACTACCACTACAAGATCCTAAATGGGAGACTTGTGTGTTGCCTGTACTTTTGTACAAAACATTATGTCATTGAATTCTTCAGAAAGAAAGAAATTACTTCCTAACCTGAAGAACAAACTCGGAGGCATAGAACATCGCTAGATAACTCAAGTTTTAAGATGGAATGTAGGCAGTTTTTGTACTATACCAGCTAACAGCCAGCACGGATAAGTCCTTTAAGTCCTCATCCCAAGATTACACAGCTCTAGCCAACGCTATAGTCATAATTAAGTCGACAATAGCAGACACATTTCTTTATAAGCAAATATCAGCCCATGGCAATAATTGGCATTGAAAAAACGCATGTTTTAGTGTACCTAATAAATGGGAAAATTGAGAGAACGGTCGTTATGCATACGTAAATAGAAACATAATCGATAAAAACTGTTGTCCAGTTAACGACTCGAGCTTTTTATTTCGCATTAAATGTAAGAACGCTACGAGATAATGAGCTCCAGAAGTTCGGATATTGTGACTGTCGAGTGAATAATTCCGCAGTGGCTAACATCAAAAGCACAAGCAAATATGACAATTGTTACAAATTTTAACAGGTACAGCCACTGCTGATTAGCTGCAAATATGATTTATTACATAGTACCACCTCATCAAGCATACAAAAAATTAACAAATAATCTGCTTTTAATTCTTTCCATCTTCTCATAGGTACCATACACAAATAAAAACATCGGTGGCCTTCGTATCACCGTTAAGACTCCCTTTAAATAGACATAATAACTACAACTTAATGCTTTGATAAATAAGATAACTTCGGGGTCCTATTGTTATGTGGGGTTTAACGTCGCAAAACAATGGTATATTTATTAGGAAGGCCGCGATGGAAGGCTTCGGAAATTTTACACTCCATGGTGCTCTATAACGTGCAGTGACACGGCAGAATTTTCATTTCATTTTCATTTCATTTCACTTTATTTTCAATTCCAGAATGATACATCAAAAAAATGTTTGGACCTATAGCCAAAGGCTAGAATAGGGTCCAATGATGCAATACAAAATGGCACAGTATTCAAACGATAGCACAAGGCAACAATAGCACATGTAGCAAAACAATAGAACAAGGCATTGAACCTGGATACAAGATGGTAAACATTGCGGATATAGTAAAGAAGGTTAGGCATTGTACAGACATATATATTCAGATACTATATATTCAGATACATATATATTCAGATTGCCCTGCCGCGGTGGTCTAGTGGCTAAGGTACTCGGCTGCTGACCCGCAGGTCGCGGGATCGAACCCCGGTTGCGGCGGCTGCATTTTCGATGGAGGTGAAAATGCTGCAGGCCCATGTGCCCAGACTTGGGTGCACGTTGAAGAACCCCAGGTGGTCGAAATATCCATATCCCTTCACTACGGCGTCTCTCGTAATATCGTGGTGGTTTCGGGACGTTAAACCCCACATATCAACCAATGACATGACAGGATACACGGGGAACTAGCATTCAGCCCCCGGCGAAATGTGATCCACGTGGTCTTGACCCGCGGCTCATCAGTCGACCACCGTAGCCACTTCAATACACATTGGCGACTGTTGTTCAGTCAGAGGTGGTGCAACTTGGAGCTTACGTCCTAATAACACTCGAGGTAACTAAAGAAGGGAGAAGGTCGCACCACCCCTTTCAAGCCCATGATTAATATGTGGGGTTTAACGTCCCAAAACCACCATATGATTATGATAGATGCCGTAGTGGAGGGCTCCGGAAATTTCGGCCACCTGGGGTTCTTTAACGTGCACCCAAATCTGAGCACACGGGCCTGCAACATTTCCAGCAACAGTGTCAAGCTTAAACAGCGCAGCTGGTTGGTCTTCGGGGCTCAACGTAGCCGTCTTTCCCTGACGTGAGTATTGACCTCTTCACTGAAGGCTCCCTGGACACCGTCATAGTCCTATCTGTGTTGTTATTAGTGCGCGTGACCCCCCCCCCCCCGCCTTCTTCTCCAAAAATGCACTGCCGAAGCTGTGACGTCAACTTTTGTACTCTTGTGCAGCAGCCCAGAAAGGACATCCTCTTCGTAAAAAGGTCCATATTAAGTAAATCCGAATCACAGCCTGTCCCAGATCAATCAACAATGTCCAAACAGTTGTGCCAGAACTAACGTGCCAAGCTAAATTTGGCACCCTTTGTCGAAGCGCGCGGACCTTTCAAGGTCCATACTCGGCTCGCGTGGCGACAAACTCGGGGCGGGGGCTGCGCGGACTGCCTCCGTCGGCGGGTGCGTCTCATTAGGAACGGCGCGAAAAGTTTTTTGGCTGGCTCCACGACGCAATAACTCAAGGTTTAAGACATTCGCAAACAGGTTTGCGGACTTACCAGGACTCCATTTCTTGACTTCGACGACCCCTTGATGTCTTCTCTTGGAGTGATGACCAAATGGCTAATACGGTATCCAGATGTTCAGATATGCCCGACGGTTATGCAAAACACCGACCAGCGTGCAGACATGGGCTCTTTGCAACATCACTCGCGTATAGGCAGCACTTCGTGTCCAGCCAGGCTGTGCTCTCTCGAAGAAGCAAGCGGATCGCTGTCTCTCCTATGCACACTGCCCTGACAGCGACAGCAGAAAGTTGGCTAAGCTGAAGCAGGAACGCTAGTTTCCATCGGTTCGCGCACTCACAGCGCTGCTGTACGCGGCACGGCCGTCGCGTTGCGCTCTCAAACACCGCATTCGCGAGGAAACGTGAAGCCTTTCACAAACCTCCTCCTCTCTCAGACACCCACTGCACATCCGTTACCATAGCAAAAGGTCGGCACGTTAGGTCTGCGCTGTCCCTTGCTTGCTGCAATGTGATACTTGTAAAATTAATCTCGTGTTGTGCAATATGCGGGCAACTCCTAGAGCCAGGCCGGGAAAATATTCAAACACCCTTCCGCATTGGCAGAGGAAGTCGAAACAAGACATCCGCCTCCGGCACCCCTGCGGAGTAGAGATACGTGTTTATGGAGCAATTGTGCTTTAAACGCACAAAGACGGAATAGACTCACACGCAGACACAGTCCGTCCCTGTGCGTTAAAAGCGCGACTACCCTAATGTACAACCAAAACTTGCCGTTGGGCTAGTTGGTGCGTATTACAAGGAAATTAAGCGATGAAAACGGCTCGTAAAATGAAAGAGGGTCAGCTCGCAACTAACTATTTTTCCCGAACTGTTCTATATGGCAATGCGCTGTAGAGTTGAACAAGAAAACTGGTTTATTCTACCTCTAACGCTACATGACTGGGCCACATCCAATGTGCGCTGTACCGTGATGCGAGTCGAGCGTCCAATGCCCCCGAGTAGACACCGCAGTTCCTGGTTACTTGAAACCCGTGAGGTCCATGCCACGTGATCTTTGGCGAAATGCCTTCTGCTGCGGCGCACACTGCCTGTTTCGCATTGAATCCAGTATGAGCGTGGCAAGTCGACCTGTCTTAGGATGGTACCTCTGCGTTTCACATTTTTTGTTCCCACTTTCTGCCCCGGGTTCAGGATCGGCAAACGACGGACAACATGGCGATGATTGTAATCCCTGTCCTGGCACTGCTTGATTTTTTGATTGTCATTTTGTAGTCACTGACTGTCTGCGAGCATCGGCTTCAGCATGAGTGGAGAAATCGGCTGTTTGGGACGAACACGCCGGCTGAAAAGTAGCTCTACTGAGCTATGGCCGTTCTCCAGATGTGCGGCACGGTACGCTAGAAGAGCCTGATATGGGTCAGTTGCCTTGGCCACCATCTGCTTGGTGACCGGCTCAGTGAATCATTTGCTCTGTAGGCACTTCGGCTTTGATATCGCGTGTTTGAATCACCACTCTCTCGTGAATTTCAAAAACTCGGATGCATCACAAGGATGAAACTTTGGCCCGTGTTCAGCTACAAAGTATCTGCAGCACCGTGGCACACGAAGATTGATTTCACCTTGATTGATATGTGGGATTAAAGTGATTAAAGTAGCAAACGTCTTGCCTTACAATCGTGTTAAAATGTTGGCGTTACCGCAACGAGGAATGATGCCAGTACGTCAAATTGTTTTTAAGTGAAGGCGTTGGCTGGCTTATTCACAAATTGCTGACATCTGAACGCAAGCATACAAAGCGTTAGCACAATCACCCTTATACTGTGGACGTGAGAGTATTATAGTTCTACTCGATTTAGCCTTTGTGCCTAATGCGAACTATTAGTAAGAGCGAACATTTTCGAATAGTTTGAGTATATTTCTCAATGTAAATTATGTCCATGTACATGTTTAATTGGTCCGCAAGTACAACTTTCATACTTGTAGTTATAGCATATAGTGTTATCACAGGAGACCTTACGTAGATAGCTGCAGGCGCGTCTTTTTGTGATGTCTACTCTGTCCGTATTAGTCAAGAAGGTTTTGTGCGCTACGACATACAGAACCAACTCGTCCACCAAATCTTCCTGAGTAGTTAACGGGCTGCGTAATTAATGGAGCCGCACTAACATTCTATACATTTGTCATTCAGGTCCACGCATGCGACGAACGCGTTGATTTTGATCCATCTGCAGACTTTTATTATTATATGCCATAGGCTGGTTTTCGTAAGCGTGGTGTTCAGTATTCAAAAATGACTAGGAAGGAATTTGATATTACAAATGTATTCGTTCCTGGTGCACGCTTTTCTGTATTCAATGTAGTCGAACCCCTTTATGGGAGACGCTGATGTAAGAAACAAATCGGTATCAAGGACACGTACTAGTGTTTCTGCATTGAAACCGGTGTTAATAAGAAAACGCATACGTGGTACCTTGCTCATAAGAGGCAATTCATATAGAAGAATTGCTGCCCACTACATGTCTATTATAAAAGGGTTGAACTGTGTGTGCAATCTTCGAAATCACCATTTTCTACTCCCCTGTTAGAAACTATACACGAGGAAAGCCTCTAGTATCGATTCCTGTTGTAATGAATTAGTGTACACATTAACTCGGCCATGAAAAGTGAACGTTGCAGTACAGGAAACAATACAGGCCTGTGCCTTTACAGCATCTTTTCCCACTCGGTGGCAAACATTAACTGCCAAAAAAAGAAGAAAAACAACCATCATCACCCAAGTACTAATTAGATAGGCCATGCTAGAAACCGTGAGCACGATCGGAAACGCTTTTCGATATCGAAGCTCGTTGCAAAATGGTTTATTAGTGGGTATGAACATTAATCGTCACTTATGATAAATAATGCAGAGTAAAGTAAACAGGACCACACGTGGCAATGGTGTACAAAAGTTGTTATTATTTTGAGTGAAGTGGCGAGTCGGGCTTGTTGGATACACTATTCTGGTGCATTGCATCACAGAAAACACACAACAGATGGAACACAAACGACACAAGCGCCGTTGTTTCGCACATCGCGACTATCGCGGCACGCCATGCACGAGAACTTTCTGAATGTCATCAGTTAGGTCTCAGCGGCCCGAGAGCGACGTCCGCCACAGCTGAAGGGAAGGCAGCAGCCGCCAGACCGGAATGTTTTCTTCATTTCTTTCGGCTGCTCCTCTTTCTTTTCTTTCGGCTGCTCTTTCTTCTCTTTTTCCGGCTGCTCTTCCTTCTTTTCTTCCGGTTCATTGCCGAGAAGGTCGTCGACTATCTGAAATATCAATCGCTTCGTTCCAAGAGCATTTCAAAGCGTCCCGATACAAGGATCGGTGAAGTTCAACGACAAAAACCGCATAACAGAACTGAAGACCAAGTATCTGCAGCTTTGAACGTGTCATACCCTGTATACATGGTCGTACCTGCCTCAGTTCGGTAACCATGTGATGTAGTTAAGCTGAACGAAATGCATGAACGACTAACAGCACACTCTGAGCTCTTTATTTTCGCAATCCTACGTCAAAGACATACACGAAAAAGTTGAACATAACAGCTACTATGTCACAACGTGATGTTCATCAAAGCAACTCGCTTCATGATCCTCACGTTTATGAAATGGCCCCGCCGCGGTGGTCTAGTGGCTAAGGTACTCAGCTGCTGACCCGCAGGTTGCGGGATCGAATCCCGGCTGCGGCGGCTGCATTTCCGATGGAGGCTGAAATGTTGTAGGCCTGTGTGCTCATATTTGGGCGCACGTTAAAAAACCCCAGGTGGTCGAAATTTCCGGAGCCCTCCACTACGGAGTCTCTCGTAGTTAAATGGTGGTTTTGGGACGTTGAACCCCACATATCAATCAATCAACGTTTATGAAATGACTTGCCGACTTGTTCATGGCGCGAATTTCGCTACGTAATGCTGGGCAATTTTCGGTCACGCGACTAGTCACGTGAGGTTACGTAATTTTAGTCCATGACGTGAGTTGAATATTAGTCGCATAAGTAGCGTTGTGCGATTTGATGGACGTGACTAGACGGCACGTGTTGTTGCGTGAATTTTCGCCGAGGGAATTAGTGCGGGATCTGTAATTTTTGCCGCGTGAGTATCTACACAAGGAATTACGTGATCTTTAGCTCTGTGACCAGTTGTTACGGGGTGTTACACATCTTCAGTCACTTAACACACTGACCCATAATAGTTACTGTACTGCACGCCTCCTTAATTGGCGCCAGTCGAAGGGGACGAAGCGAGAATGCACTGGATCATGATGATCATTATGTCAGTGCTAAATAAATTAACTTTCCCGGGGAGCCAAAATTTTGAGAAGCCTACCTTTACACCGTCTTTCGTGGCCTACTGTCCCTTTGGAATATTCGACCACTTAAAGGCGTACTGCCGTCAATTCCCTAAGATAAGTTCACTCCGCCATAGAAATCTCTCGTGAACAGAGACTTTTCTGACCACGTGTGACGTTCAGGAAATACTGAGAGGATATCTTCTTATGGTTTTAGCGTCAATTTTTGCGTGGTGCATCCCCTGACATCGACACTACAGCGTGTAGTCAGGGCACAGTTCGAATTAGGAGACTTCACGCAGCTGTGACATTTGGCGATGACGTCAGCAAAGAAATGAAGATACCCACGCATATCGAAGAAGCGAATGGTGACGAGTGGGCGAAGCTAGGCGCTAAGATCCATGTGTACGTTGAAGGCGCTCACTAGTGTGAAGGACGAACAGATGAACGAACGCACGGACGGGCGGATGGATAGGTGGAGGCTCTCAAGGTCCTTCAGGGCACTGATGCTAAAAACGGCGATAGATAGATAGATAGATAGATAGATAGATAGATAGATAGATAGATAGATAGATAGATAGATAGATAGATAGATAGATAGATAGATAGATAGATAGATAGATAGATAGATAGATAGATAGATAGATAGATAGATAGATAGATAGATAGATAGATAGATAGATAGATAGATAGATAGATAGATAGATAGATAGATAGATGGACGGACGGACAGATAGACGGACGGACGGACGGACAGATAGACGGACGGACGGACGGACAGATAGACGGACGGACGGACGGACAGATAGACGGACGGACGGACGGACAGATAGACGGACGGACGGACGGACAGATAGACGGACGGACGGACGGATAGATGGATAGATAGATACCGCCAGTGCTCACCTCTTCCCATTCTTCTGGCTCAACCAACAGGTCATTCTTGGTGGCGCTCTTGGGATCCTGCGGAAATCGTCAAGTTCACATAAAGCAGACGTATACCGGAAGCTCAGTGATCTTACCCTAATATAGTGCATCAGTTCACTGCAGGTTATTTCTCGCCCATTGATCTCTTTCGACCGCAGATTGTCTGGCCCCATTAACAGCTTGACGAGGTCAGAAAGTTCAACT